AAGAAAGAAGGCTGAAGTTGGAGTCAACGGCCTATATAGCGCATAGCAAGCTGACCCGTAATACTTAATTTTGTTAAATATAAATATATTCCAACATTATAATCAAGATCCAAGAAAACGAAGAGCTTAAGGGCAGATACACCCAGAACATGGTTACCTTACTAAAACATTTACCAAAAAAAAACCATTAGACTTACAGATGCCAAATTTGGTACCAGTATAGCTTACATAATCTATTATATGAAAAATGTAAGGAAATAAGTTTATGTATGGAGTAAAGATTTAAAAAAAAAATAATTTTAAAATGTAAGTCATCCGCAATATTAAAAAAAAATGACCCCAACTGTAGAACTAATTTAAACCAAAGTATCAAGTACACAGCTGTAACACTTTCAATGCATCTAAAAGACATGTATGGCTATGGTATGAACCAGTCTCATGTTACTAACCATTATGGTTTGTCCATGACACAAATTTGAAAAATGTGCTAAAATTTTGAGAAAACAGCAGACCATAGCCCTACATATCTAAAAAAAGTATAACACCTAGCTAAAAGATTTTGGTTCATACTATAGCCACTATATCAGGAAATGTGTGTGCAAAGTTTTATCACAATCGAACAATATTTGTGGAAAATAACTGGAAGACAATTTGCAAACATGTCGTTTTTCGCAAACTTTTCGTATACTAAAAAAAGTTGATTTTCTTCCATGAAAACAGCCAATACACTCCAGCTTAGTAAGGATGGCACTGTTTTTCAGATTCTTTCTCCTCAGCACCTAATTCCTAGTGCTTTCTGACCTGACAAAGCGTCTTGAAAGCCCAAAATGTCTGGTTTTTTTTTTGTTTTTTTGTAACATACGACACATCGGCGGTTTTGCAGAATTCTAACAGAGTTGTTCTGGATGTATGTCTATCACCCTCAGCTAACCATCAGAATAGTGTTCCATAACTAAATATAGCTTCTGCCATTGCTATAGAAGTCTCCAATTATTACAGAATGATTCCTTTTCTTTTGGAATTACTTCCCTATCATGTCGCTGAGTGACTCATTCTGGTTGTGGGTGTAGCTATTGAGTCAATTTGTTACCTCCTATGTCTTAGCAAGGACTTCTCCAGACTGGTCTTATAGCTTCAATGACTTCTGTAAGGAGGTAATAATGTGTTCTATATGGTATGACCATTGGCATTGGTGTTTTTACTTTATGCAGGTCCATTATAAGGCAAAAAACTAATCTGACCTTTCCGCGCCTCAGCTTTGCATCACAAATGCAGTTCATCTGTTCACAATATTTAAAAAAAATTACCAACAACTGAGAGGATAAGCTTAGAAACAACCAGATTATCTGTTTCATTTTGTATTATTACAATTAAATATGCATGAACTGGCTAGCCTCTTTCTTTCATTTCTAAGAAACAGACACATCAATGACACACAAGTGCGATGAAATACTTTCTCAGAGAATCGCTGTCTATACTAATTTATTATCACATTATCTATCTACATACATAATTTTCCAGATGGTTGACTTTAATATTTAGTTTGTTTTATTCAGAATCACCATTGAGAAGTACTTTTCCTATGTATCATTCTATTTAGTAGAATCTTGAGTCTGCATCAATGTATATTATATTTTTTGTTTTGACTTTGTGGGTGTGTCCACCTGGTTACCAAATGTAAACAAACTTTTTATTTATTTATCTATATATATAATTCTCTTCTTCGAGCCGTTAGAAAACAAGCTGCAAACGCTCTCCCTACCTCCCCACCCCTACATGGTTTTAGTGAGCTGTGTTCACTCTAAATGTTTACAAGCAGAGCCAACGATTTTAAACGTAGGGGGGGGGGGAGGGGAGGGGAAGGAAGGGGGGGAGGGGGTTATGGTCCTTAACGAGCTACTTATAGTATTTTAAAGAAATATTTTCAGTGGCAGCGTTGGTACTGCCGAATTCACAAATTATGAATTATTGAAAATTAGAAACAACTAAATAGCGGCGTATGTTATGCCGCGGGCCGGCTCGTTTTTATTACTATTACTGTTAGTCAGCAAGAAGGTAGTCTGTTTTATTTTACATAATCATAACTATGTCTTTTTCTAGTTTCAATAGCTGTAGATTGCATATAACAACTTAGAAAACTCACTTTCTATACTAGTTTAGTTTTAGTAAATTTTAATACCTCAACAATGAAATGTCATTATTCCAAGTATAAAATAATAAAAATATTTAATAGGAAGTAGATCTATTTGGAAATAGGGAGTAGCTAATTATTCTAATAGTAAAGGGAGTGTTTATTGTTTATATTTATTATTATATCGTTCGTTTCCGAGTGTTGTAAAAGGCTTGCCGTCCGACATTTTCCCTATTTTTTACATTCTGACGGACTACCCCTACCCACTTTAGAAGCTAATAACTAAAAAACTACTTCACTCAGGTCAAATTAATGCATACAGACGGATAGAGAAATGGATTCTGAATAAAATAACATTCGCCATACAACAATATTCGAAAAAAAACGATTTTTCAATGATTCTGGGTGTACCTGCCCCCTTAAAACCAATTCTGACTTCCTTTCATTGGAGCAAGTTTGTAAAGAAATTTTTATATATATATTATATTTTTATATTAAACATTTGTATCAGCTCACATTAGGGGTCGGTGTGGTCGAATTGGTAAAGCTCATGGTTGCTAAACCAAAAAGTCTCGAGTTCGAACCCTCGGGCAGATGAAGCTCGTTAGCTGGGGACAGCCACTCTTCTAGGAGAGACAACTCCAAAATTAAACAACTGCTGCCTTGTAGTTTGTTCTTGGTTGGACAAAGGCTATGGAAGCCAATCCAAAAAGAAAAGCAGGCTGAAATCGGAGTCAATGGCCTCAATGGCGCATAACCAGTTGACACGTAACGCTTAATTGTGTTGGAGGCGTGGTTGAGTCGGCAAAAAGCTCATGGTTGATAAATTCGAACAAAGTCTCGAGTTCAAACCCACTGGCAGATAAATCTCGATCCCCTTCAACACTAAAAATTAAGAACGAAGAAGAAGAAGAAGAAGCTCACATTAAAAAAGAGTTAATTTCATTTGGGTTCATATCAAATTAAACAACTGGAAGTAAATTTAACTAATTGCATTAACAAAAATTATTGTCTAAACTCGCTCACTTTTCCCGCAGAGACAGTTAAATGTTGGGCGCAATGGCTGAAATATCTGGTTCCTTGAAGGCTGGCGGTCAAGAATTTTGGTCAACTGGGTCTTTAGTTACTGAGACACACTTGTGCTACAGATATCTACATTGTCCATTTGGTCAACTGGGTCTTTAGTTACTGAGGCACACTTGTGCTACAGATATCTACATTGTCCATTTGGTCAACTGGGTCTTTAGTTACTGAGACACACTTGTGCTACAGATATCTACATTGTCCATTTGGTCAACTGGGTCTTTAGTTACTGAGGCACACTTGTGCTACAGATATCTACATTGTCCATTTGGTCAACTGGGTCTTTAGTTACTGAGGCACACTTGTGCTACAGATATCTACATTGTCCATTTGGTCAACTGGGTCTTTAGTTACTGAGACACACTTGTGCTACAGATATCTACATTGTCCATTTGGTCAACTGGGTCTTTAGTTACTGAGGCACACGTGTGCTACAGATATCTACATTGTCCATTTGGTCAACTGGGTCTTTAGTTACTGAGGCACACTTGTGCTACAGATATCTACATTGTCCATTTGGTCAACTGGGTCTTTAGTTACTGAGGCACACGTGTGCTACAGATATCTACATCGGCCAGTCGACCGGACTGATACAAGATGCACGGCTTGGACCTAGGTAGATTCACTTAATTTCTGACCATTCAAACATATTATACGTAATGAATGTTGCAAATTTGTTGAAAAAAAAACAGGAGAAAAGATCACCTCTACGATTATCGTGATTATAAATTAAGTACTCGAGACAGACATTTTTCCAGTAAATGCACGTAATATTCAAAATTAAAATTATGATATTTCTTTTATTATATCAGAATATGCCAGTTAAAAAAAATCACAATTTATAATGAGTATATTTTTAAAATTCATTTTTATAGGCCAATATTTAGCTGTTGTTTAAAAAATTGTCATACATAATATAAGTGAAATAAAGAAAGGACAAAGAGTCATAGTGATATTGTTTTTTTTGTTTGTATTTAAAAGAAATAAAAGAATCCATCAAATATACATTGTCATTGCAAATTGATTTGTATATTGTATAGGTCTTTATCAAATGGACATTTTAATACATTTTGAAACGAAAAATGAAATAATTTCATGAAATTGAATTTACAAGTAATTGTTAACTAATTAACAATAATATCATAATTTCAAAGCTTCGAAAGTAAGCGGTACAAAAGTGAACTTTTGAATTTCTCCTCTATGGTGCAATCCCCCCACCCCTGTCGTGTAGGCACCAAGGGCGGCAGCCCCGCACCATTAACCACGCCACAATCTATGCAGTACAGATGCTAATCACTAACATCACCATTAGCTACTTAGTGTACTAAAGAACAAACAGAGAAATGCGTCATGTTGTGTATTAAGTTCGAAAAGAACAAAAAGAGAAACGCGTTATGTTGTGTATTAAGTTAGAAAAAAAAAGAACCAAAAAAGCAACATCTTGAACATTATGTATGAATCATGATAAAAAAATATTGATAATTATTTATATTAATGTAAAATCTTTGTAAGATCAGTCAGTAATTTTAAAGTTATTTCCTTGCAGGAAAAAAATTGATTGTTTAGAACATTTTATGCAAACGAGTTTGACAGCGGCTGTATAGTCACACAAAAAAAAATTGGCAAAAAAAAAATAATAATGTAAAAGTTAGATAAACCATCATTAATATTGATATATTGAAAAAGGATAAACGATTTAGATCGATGTTTCTTCCAGGTTTCTTCGCCCCCCCCCCCCACGAAGAAATATGTCTGGAAGAAACACTGATTAAGATATTCTTCATTGCTAAGATATCAAGCAAGAGCTTTTTTGTTGATCCGTTGGAGTTTTTTGTAAACTTTTGTTTTTGTCTTGGCTATCATTATCTTTTTGTCCTGAGCCACCCCTATTTCCCTTTTGCCCTGAACCATCCATATTTTGCTTAGAGATTTTCCCTCTATTTTCCAAATTTTGCTCGACAATTTCAAAATTGTCTCTACTATTTTCTTTATTTATTTTCTCCATTATGTCTCTGATTTTTCGCTCGAGAATTTCTTCGTTAAATAGTTTTTCCATCATTTCTTCCACCTTTTCCCCCACTACTTTTTCAATTTTTTCCATGATTTTAATCTCAAACTTTTCTCGAATGTTTTCTTCAGCTTTTTCTTCAATGTTTTCCACACCTTCGCTCCCACTTCCTGTGTCAAGTTTTTCTGCTTGATCTGTGTTACTACATTCCAAACAATTAGCATACACATGTTTCCCCACTCGTTCGTTCATTTTCCTCTCCACAATGAGTTCAATTATTGCTGTAAAACTTCCATCATCATTTCTCTTATGTCTTTGGTCTTTGTATTTGTCGCCTCTAATTGCCTCTACAAAGTCAAATAATTGTTGAACTTTCTTTGGGTCCTGGGCGTGTTTATTATCAAACAAAACACATCTGTAATTGACTTCTTCCAACAAAGTTTTTATTAAACCTTTTTGTTCTCTAAGCCAGCATTGAAAGCTTATGTCCTCTTCATAGTTATCACCGTACGTGAATGCGATAATTCCATTGTTTTTTAATGGTACTTTAACAAATAATTTTTTAATTAAATCTATTGCTTGTCTCTCTTGGTTGGTAAAGCGATATCCATATTTTAGAACTATAATAATGGCTGTAACATAATGACCACACTTCACCAAACATTCTTGAAAATTTTTCTTTATGCGTGTCGTGTCTTCATAGTCTGTGTCATAGATGCTGACACCATCTACTATTGTAACCTTTTGACCCTGGTAATCAATGATTTCTGTTTTACATTCATTCACTTCAGATTCTCCAAACCCTTCTTTTACTTCAAAAATATGTTTTCCTGCAATGTAATTCCCAGTGGCGCTTTTGCCGTTTCCAGTTCTTCCAACTATCAGCAAGACAGATTTACTTAAATGCAGATTTGACATGATGTAGCTGAAAACCAAGTAAATTTGATAGGTCTATCTATCTTACAGGAACAAATATTCTGGTTTTTTAAATGCCTTAACTTAAGCTAAAACCCTAGACCCACTCATTATTTTATGTAAATACTATTGGTCGCCATTAAATTATATTTAAAAAATGATAACTACGTAAAAATCACAAAGTTAAATTTTATGATGTTTTATATATATATATATATATATATATATATATATATATATATATATATATATATATATATATAAATAAATATATATATATATATATATATATATATATATATATATATATATATATATATATATAATACATATTATAGAATTATATCGGTAGGCGATCGATATTTACCTACATTTATCTCCTTCCTTTACCAAATCGTGGATGTGTAAAAGAGTGTATCAGCAAAAGCAAATTGACAACTCTGATACAGATTTCTTTATTTCAATAGTTCTGCTCCACCCACTTGCTTCGCTTTAATTCTTTCCTAGAAAACATAATGTATGCATTGGGGTATTCCCCCACACGGTTTATGTGACACGGCTATATAAGTCTGGTGAAGTCTTTGATGCAAAGACCAATTCCCATCAGTATCGCCTCTTCGGTTGACTTTGTTCGTTAGCGTAACACAACTTCAGGTAAGAATACTTAGATACTTCATCGTTTTATCACAAACCTTTTAGAACAAATGAATAATAATTCGCCGGTTAAAATTTACTAACGCCATCGACCATTAAATGCATGTAGTCAGCATTAATAGCAGATGTCTGAACTGTTGCATTAAATATCAAGACCAAACGATTAGTGTTTCTTTCAGAAGATGTGTCTGAAAGAAAATCTGCAAACGATGGTCTCAGGTGTCGAGGATTTAGAAAATACTTATATTTAAATTTTACGATTTGTTGTTCAGTAGAAAAATAAAATTATGCTTCATTCGTTCTACAACTTTGAAAGCTTGTGTCGAGTAAAAGAATTAAGGTTAGGGTGAAGTTTACTCTCCGATAAGGATTTGTTTATACTTAATAACAACACAGTCCCGTGTTTTGTAATAAGTGAAAAATATTTTTATGTTTTAGGGTTCAGCACGTTCAGCAATTTGCGTCATTTCGGCAACCTTTCTTGTACATACGTTTAGAATTAACGTTTGAAAATTTAGTTATTTTTAATGCTAAATAGTCCGTAGAAACATACATTAATCGTCTGCTGAAGCTCGAGGACTGTCGGAGTTGTCATGTTGAGATCGAGAACTAACTCTTGATATTAGGTTAACAATACCCCTCAATAGTAACCGCATATTCCGCATATACCGTAGGAGTTATAGTAAAAGTTGAACAAAATGTTGCTGTTTTTAATAATAATTTTAAATTTTATTTACAACTAATTATTTAAAAATATATCATACGTGTTAGAAATTGTAACGTGCTAGATTTCTTTTTTACAAATTCTACTCTTCACGAATGACGTATTTTTATATAAACATAGAAGATATTTAATGGTGCTTGAAGATTTTATTAAAATTTAAAATCTATTACAGAGTATTTGGTTACATAAATAATTATTATACGTACGTTTGCTTTATAGGTGAAATGTCCAGCAAAAAAGATCTTACACTGTTGCTGATTGGTAAAACAGGAATGGGCAAAAGTGCGACAGGCAACAGTCTCTTAAGGAGAGAAAAGTTTGATATATCAAGTAATTTGAACTCGTGCACTAAATTAGTTGAACGTGGAGAAAAAAAAGGAAAAGACTTTACACTTACTATCTTTGATACGAGAGGGCTATTTGATGCTGATACTGATAAAAATGAAGATACTGTAACTACTGTAAAGCACATGGAATGGCTAATGACAGAATGTCCTAAAGTAGATGCATTTTTGCTTGTTTTAAAATCAGGTACATTTTCACAAGAAGATGCAGAAGTTATTGAACAGCTCAAAACAATTTTTGGCCCAAATTTTATCAAAGATTACTGTTATTTAGTTTTGACACATGGCGATAATTACGAGGGAACCATCCCATTTAACGAATACTGTGCAAAATCTACTGGTAAGTTCAAAGAACTTTACAACGAGTGCGACAAGCGAATATTTTTAATCACAAACAAGGGAGGCTATGAACAAAACTCACCCCGAGTGACACAAGGAGAAAACCTGATAGCCAAGGTTCAAGCATGGCGGGCTAATAAAAATCCTTACACAGATGAGAAAGAATTTGAGGGTGCCGCCCTAGCACGCAAACAGTTGGCTTTTGATGCAGACAAAGCTAATATTACTAAAGAGTTAAGGAAAGCGATTGATGAGCTAAAAGAAGAAATGACAACATATGAAAACAACAACACTAAACCTTCTACTGATTTTAAGAATAAACTATACCTCCTGCGCAACGATATTAAACAATCTGACCCAGATCCCGATACAAAGAATTTGCAATTGTTTCTGGAAGAAACTAATAAGCTAATAAGGAAAGCTGATTCGTTACCAAAAGAGTCATCAAACTGTACAATACAGTAAATATTGCATCACACACAGACACACAGACATATATATATATATATATATATATATATATATATATATATATATATATATATATATATATATATATATATATATAAATAAATAAATAAATAAATAAATAACAGGCGATGGGAACTCGGATTATAGACATGATTTTTAATCCATTTTAAATACTTAAAGTTTTTAAAATAGAATAAAATCTCGTAGACAAAAGAATTGCACACCAAGTGAACGCCAAATAAAAAAGTGCATAATAGTGCGCAATATTATTAGTACTTTAAAATTTACATTAGTTTTTTGAGAAATCGGAAGTAGCGTAAATTAGTACTTCCGGTCAACGGAAATTACTCAAAATTTGACAGAAGGTAGAGAATTAGATCTTTTACTTACATGTGAAATTTCATTTATCTATCTGAAATAGTACTCAAGTTATAAGCTTTTGAAAAATTCAAAGTAAAAAAAAGTACCACTTCCGGTTATCGGAAATCGCTCAAAAGTTGATACGGATCTAAGATTTTGATAAAATATATATGAAATTTCATCAACCTAGCTATAACGGTACTCAAGTTATCGTGTTTACACACGGACAGAAAGACAGACAGACAGACACACACACAGACATACGGACAAGATTGCAAAAGCATGTTTTTCCGTATCAGTGAGGTGTAAAACGTCGAGATTTGTACAAATATCGATTTTTTTGCACGATTACAATACTTTCTCTATACTTCGTATATACGAGAAAGTAAAAAAAGACAAAATACTGCTCTAATCGTAGAACTTACAGAAATGTAATTTTAGAATTCAAGTCACTAACCATGTTTTTGTTATAGTCATAAACATGTTCATTTGTGCTAGTGTATAGCAATATATACATATATATATATATATATATATATATATATATATATATATATATATATATATATATATATATATATATATATATCTTTAGAAAATAAAATTTTAATCTTCGCAGGCTGCATTAATTTTTTTTATTGCTTTAAATGTAACAAGATAATTATTAAAAGCTATTTCATTGTCTATTCATTGTCCTTTCTTAGTTTGAATACAGATATCTAAGGCCTACTAATTATATAAGGAGGGAAATGTAGAAGCTGTAGTTATTTGTCATTTTGTAGAGCACTTAATTACAAAACTTGAAAATTTTGACCTCAGTTCTTATTAATATTTAGCCGTAATGTGCACCAGATTCAGTAAATAAAGTTAGAGTAATCTCCTATAAACTTTCTCGTGTATTATTTTTTTTTAATACAATAGAATCGCGTAGATAAAATAATTGTGCACCAAATGAAAGTAAAATTTGTGTGCTTAATAGAGCGAAAAACTAGTGCTCTATTAAGGAAACATTGCTTAATTTTTATAAGTTAATTAAATTTCTAATTAACGTTTTATCATCAAGTCCTGTATATATAGACGGTAGGCAGAGGAATCAAGAGAGAAAAATTGTTTTTAAGGAACCAGAAATAGCGAAAAGTGCTACGTTTGGTCATCAGATATCACACAAAATTTGACAAAAACCAATATTATAGTCCACCATCTAGAACTGTTTTTGCATTCTCGGTATTTTATAAACTATTAAATAAAATACCACTTCGTGATATGGGAGTTGACCCAAAAATCAAAGGTTATATAAGTATAGGATTTTCTTTTACTAATATATGAAACTATCTAAATAAACCAGAACTTTAATTATCGTGTTCCCACAAATTGCTACGAGTGGGTTTTTTTTAAAAATATGAATGATGGACTTTCTTTAAGGCCAATAAAATGTTTGTTTTACGAAAGTGAAACTTAGGATTATAATTTAGGTTTCATGAAAAAAAATATCTTTAATAGTCTGTGAAATTTCAACTTTTATTACTTTGATTATAAGAATACTAAAATTCTGTGGAATTGCAACTTCATTACTTTTATTCTAAGCATATTAAAATTTTGAATTATTTTCAGGCCAAATTTTGTCTTATTATTTTTTTCTTAAAATGTTAATTTGTTGCAATATCTAAAAAAATAAAAAATAAAACTCATATTTTAATATTAAAAACTAAGATATTTGATTAATTAACAGATTTAAAACGTTTCGGTGACACGGCTTGGTAGGTATGGGGATGGGTGTGGGAAAGTTATGGAACGTCTGGAGTTTTCCGGCCCAAAGCTATAGAACAGTGGTTTACAAAAATTTTGAGTGGCGACTCCCTTTTATAAATAATAAGTGACCCGCGACCTCCATAGAATAAAAAAGTCGAAATTAGAAATTAAATTAATAAGCACTAAAATAAGATTTTTAGTAGACTTTTAATATTAACTAGAATACCCGTCATCCGTTGGATAACTGTGGGTTTCGGGGGTCATCCATCAAAAAACATCACGTCTGTCACTCAGAGGCATAGCGAGCCTTCCCGGCGCCCGGGGACAAACTTTTCGATTTGAACCCCCCCCCCCCCCGCAAGATTTCGATTTTCAACCCCCCCCCCCCTCAAACTTTTGATGTGCAACCCCCCCCCCCCACTCAAACTTTCGATTTGAACCCCCCTCAACCTTTCAATTTATTTTTCCAAACCATTTTGGCGCCCCAACATATGTCCCCCCGCCCCCCCCCCTCCACCTCCCCCCGCCTCCCCTCCCCCCCCCCGCCTCCCCCCCCCCGCCTCCCCCCCCCGCCCCCCCTCCCCCCTCCTCGCTACGCTACTGCAGTGTCACTTATCGTCACAAAAACAGACCCCACATTCAAAAATATGTTTCTTATCTTTTAAAAACACCGAAAACACCGATTTCGGACTATCCCTTCATATACTGACGTCACAGGTGACCTACTCAACTCTACTTCACCTGCCCAGTGTCCCGCCAAGTCTCAGACAACATGTTTTTATCGTTTAAAAAACGATTCCAGCCGAGCATGTCTCTGACCACACTATCCTTTCATATGCTTAAGACAAAGAAACAGATGAACTCTACTTCACCTGCCCTGTATCCTGCCAAGTTCAGATAGGCAACTTTATCATTCACATCTAAAAAAAAAAAAATTGAAAAAAAATATCATTGACATATTGGTCTAGCACCTGTACCACCCGCATGAGAGCGGACTACGCTACAAACTTAGCTATTTACTCGTGACGTCACAAATGAATTTTTATACTATAGTTTTGAGTCTCCGCGCATAGATCTAGATCTAAGTCTAGTAGTAGAATCTAGTAACTTTCAAATTAAATTTTATCTTAAATTAGCCAAACAAAGATTTATATAAAATAATTAAGGCCTGAAATAGATTCTAGATGTATTAAGGCCTGAAATAGATTCTAGATGTAGAATTTACATTAAGTCTAGATCTAGAATTTACATTGAGTCTAGTGACCTAGATCTAGGCTAGATCTAGATCTAGGCTAGATTCATAACTTTCCTTCGACAGCTGATCTTTAGATCTAGAGAAATTTATTGTAAAACTAAATGAAAAAAGACAGTTTAAATTGATATAAGTGTTGGAACGTAATAAATACAGCAAACGGACGTATTGTTAAAGTTATGACCGACAGAAAATTAGATTTAGAACGCGTTAAACTTTTGAATGGGAACACAATTTTCTTCGATAGACGCCGCCATTTTATTGTACTAAAGAGTAAACAAAAAACTGTGACGTCACGGTCCCGCCGAGTGTAGTGGTCGTTTTAATCTTTTTAAAAAAAAATGGGTTACTCTGCGTATGAATAAATCAATAAATTAATTAACGTCTTTAAATAAATGTGTGATTAACAGTCTGTCTTAAAACAAAAATTTTTCTCTACCTACATACTATTTTACAGCTTTCCACGATGAGTGCAACCATGCGAGATAGTCAATCAGGCAAACAAACAAACAAACAAATAAATATTCAAACATGTAAACAAACTTGACTTTTAGTAGTATTAGATTATTCTTGATAACTATTTTAATACGATGAATGAAATTGCATCCTATTAACTAGCGGTTCAAAACTCGCGGTTGCATTTTTTGTTAACGCCAACCTTATGTCTTTCTCAAAATTTAATTTATTTCTTTGTTGTGTTTTTAATTGGAGAAGTGATGCAAATCTATTCTTGCGAAGATACATAGGCACAAGAGGAACTTAAACTCTAAAGACAAACAATTTCACGATGGGTCTGAATGATGCATACTACACCAAAATTGTGTGATCTGTTTTTCATTTAACACGGTACGTGACGCGAAATTCTTTCCGCAAATTTAAGAATTCATCTTGTAATTCATCGGGAATGCTGGCAACATTAATGAAAGCAGAGAATGGGTTACGTATCAATGCAGATTCTTCTTCTTTCAGTCCAGGGAAATAACGCCGCAGTTCGTTGTCAAGAGATTCAAGATGCCCATAAATCTTCTCTTTCAAATTTTTATTTATCTTACAATCAGATTCATCTACCACACTGCATAGTTTCTCAAACATGGTAATATTTCCAAGATTTATTTTTCTTCGCGAATATTGCAGCGTTGACAAAAATGCCCCGAGATTATCATAAAAAGACACAATATTGGTTCATTTTCCCCGAAGCTTCAGGTCAAGCTTATGTTGATGTTTGAATATATTATCTTATAGACATGATACGTTCTCCAACCACTCTTTGTCGCTAAAGTGTATCAAAAGCTGATGTTTTCCTTGCACACCCATGAACAACTTGATTTCATCTTTAAATTCAAAAACACGATTCACAACATTTCCTTTTGACAGTCAGCGTACTGCAGTGTAGAAAAGCAAAACCTCGTGATCTTTATTCATGTTTTTGCACGGGTATTTAAGGCTCCAGATTTAATATAATTTATCACTTGTATTAGTATTGTATTTATTTTCTCAATGGTATCTTCACAAAATAGTTACTCTTCTTTGCTATCATCTGAATGAATATTATTTCACTAAGACAAGCAACTGCTAACACGAACTTACGTCTTTTGATTCATCAACTTAAAACTCAAACAATGGTGAAAGTTTT